CTGCTGTAGGTGACCCTGCTTCGGCAGGGGAGTTGGACTAGATGACCCACAGAGGTCCCTTCCAACCCCTACTATTCTGTGATTCTGTGATTCTGTGATTCTGTGAGTGAATCTTGCAGAAAACATTTTTGAATGAATTGTGTCCTGTAGGTCTTCAGCTCATTAAAAATAAATATTGAGAAACTATGCCTTGTTAAACAAGGCACTGAAGTGTAGGGTTGTGCTGGATCTGGCTGGCATGGAGTTAACTTTCTTCGAAGTAGTCCATATGGTGCTGTGCTTTATATTTTTGGCTAGAACAGTGTTGATAAAGCACCGACATTTTGGCTATTGCTGAGCAGTGCTGCATTCATGGGGTCCAGGCTTTCTCTTTTTCAGAATAGATGAAAAGGTTTTCTAGTGACAAACAGGGCCAAACAAATGACAAAAGTCAAAGTCAATGTTATCCTCTTTACCTCATGGGATACACAGGAAACAAGTATTACGTATCTTATCCAACCATACTGGCATAATTGATGTCAAGTGATGACCTGAATACAAGTTTTAACCTATTGTCGACAAAAAGAAACAGCATCATGTGTGTGTGTTGAAGTGTCTCTCTCTATACAAATATTAAAACATCAGAATGCATGTGGGGAAGCAGAAGTTGCACAACTGTAAACTTGTAGGAAGGTTAAATTAAATTAGAAAAATATTGTGCATAGTGATCTGTTTTAAATGACTAATCCTTTTTAATGTGTCGGTTGCAGATAATATTAGAAAGACTGAAACGCAAACAGCTGTTTTGGAACCAAGTTGCCATAAAAAGATTTGTGAGCAACCAAATGTTGAAAGATCTTCTAAAAAGCCCTTGAGAACCAAAGTTCATTCTTATGATAGAACAGGTACCTAAGTTATAGCATCGGGGGGAAGACCATGCTTTAGTTATGCCTGTATAACTAGTGTATTTACTTCAGATTTACATTGATATGATGGAGAATATACTCAACTGCTACTGTCTTTCCTCATCCCTTTCCTGCCTTTAGAGTAAGAGTGTATGTGGAGGGGAGAGCTGATACAGCTGGAAATGAGAAAGGGCTGTCATTTCAAATCTTATTTCAAAGGCTAACAACTTTATCCTCTGTAGTCCCCTTCTGATGGTTTGCTTTTTTATACCTGATCTCAGAGCGGAATTTACTTTCAGCCAGCATTTGAATTCCTGTTTTAAGGTTGTTTATATTTTATAGTTAGCCACAGTAAGTTTTCTTTTAATTAGAAAATCTATAAAGAGCAGTCATGTTTTCCTACCTATCTTTGAGGATTAGTGTGGGGAAAAATAGATTTTGATCATTATTTCTCCATTAAAAATATCTGTCGCTGAGTCTGAAAACTGTGACGGAGCGATAGCACAATTGGATTCTATTTTGTTTTTCTTATTTTGCAAACTTTTTTTGTAAACTGTTTTCTATGCACATTGTAATAGGGATTAAAAACCATGGGAAGAATATTTTTAATGCTTTCCAGGACTTCCCAAATTGTTTTCAGTAGTGTTATGGAATATTTTATTTGACTAGAGTGTTCTCCTATACAAGACTAGATTGCTGTGATTTCTAAAGGGGTAGTATGTTTCCATGTAAAAAGGAATTTTTTTTAAATGTTAGTAAGAAAAGTATTATTGTTATTCTTTCATTTTCAATATTCTTTCTGTTTAGCTGGGATTCTGCTCTGCCTTCAGAAGCCTTTTCTCATTCTTTCAGTCTTTTTAGCATTTGAGAAGGCCTTTGGCATGTAAATATATTTTTCTACAGAGTGCTTTGAATTTTGCTGTGTAAATTACACCAAAGATCAGTGTAAAATCATCAGAAGTTGAAATTACTTTGAAGTCAATTGAGAAACAGTTCTTCAGTTGCAGGAAAACACACTTGGAATATATGATGCCTTTTTTTTTTTTTGAGGAAGACTTTCTAAGACATGTTTTCAGTGTCTTCCAAGTTGGTCTGAATAACATTAGACCAATCCTCCACACTTGTTAAGGCTTATGCAACGAAACTAAAGAATGAATGGCTGGCTGGCTTGTGCAATGAATCTAAAGATTTTATGTTTCACGGAAAAAAAGTAACTTTCTTTTTTCTTTTCTTTTCTCAATGTACCAGAACCAATTGATGATGATGTTATAATGCATATTTTGAGGCTTCGAGGCAAACTTGGCTGGCAAACCAAGTTACCATCATGTGAATTACTAGCTAGAGAGGCTGATGTGTCCAGACTTCAGAAGTTCACACTTATGATGACTTTTACTTTCCCTTCTCCACATCCTGTGCAATTATACATTCTAGAAATGATGTTGGTTATAAATGTTAAATACTTATTTCCTGGAAGCTTGTGCCTTTTAAAAAGGATGGATCTTTTCTTAGAATCAAGAAAATGTTTAAAGAGAATAAACTATTAGGATTCTAATTAGCAGGATTGAATTCTAATTCTTAAAAATAGAATTGGAAGCCAAATTACATTTTGTAATGGTCAGAGCCATAGCAGAGTTCTGAGAGGAGACGGTACCTAGAATTATTCTGGGAGGAGAATAGTTGTGGCTAGAATTATTCATTCCATCTCTGGGTGCACAGCGATCACTTGAATTTAGTACTTAGCCAGTGCTCCCCACAGTTGAGCTATTCTAGCACTAAGTAGAATCGCAGTCACATCTGTCCTGATCAGACATGCCAAGCAGGAGGCCAGCATTTGCTGCGAGTAGTACTGGGCAGTCTGCTCTTGATGTAGCCAAATGGGACGCTGCCTGTGTTCTCTTACTAGTTTGGTGCATTCAATGACAGGCAGATACATATCTGGTTTAATTATAATTTTGCATACACATTTTTTCATGAACATCAAAAAATAGGCAATACAGCAAAAAAAAAATCAGCGTTTTTTCAATGTGCACAATGTTGTGAAATATTTTGGATACACAATAAAAATAAAATCTGTGTTATATTTTATCCCTTGGGACTTTTGATTTCAGATATGGCTGCAAAATTTTTAAGAAGCGTTACAGTTGTTCACAAAACTAAAATTTCTTCCAGCTATAATGATGCATTTTTAAAACAACTAGATACCACTGATATCTACAGTCTTTAACTGTGACATGGTTGCTACTTAAGAGCCTTCTCGTGGTTTTTAAGCTTGACAATGCTTACCACTTTTTATAGATGGGGAAGCTTAACTCCTAAAAAGTTTCTTCAAGTTTGGATAAAATTTTGGAACACTAAAAGGATTATATCAGAGTTTTCTGAACAAGAAACAGTAATATTGAAGTAGCTGCTGGTGGAACTGAAAAATAATTATTTAGAGTGGAAATAATAGAATATAAAAATGTGATGATATTAGAATAACTTTCTAGTTAATTCAGTGTTATTATTAAGCTTGTTATAAGAATGTTTGGATACTTCATTTATCTTTTCATAGTAAAATATATAGATATATAACTTGAAATCATGAAAAACAAATTATTTACCTACATATAAACAATTTTCTCTTTTGACAGAAACCTTTACTGCTAAAAGATAGTGGGGAATATATATATTGTCTTCAACGGAACAGGGACAACCTTACAGCTCCCTACAACCCATACGATTTACAGGCTGTCTCTACGAATACAGCTATGCAAAGCAAAGAATATTGGACTGTTACAGCTTCATTTGTGTCTAAGGTAACATATCATACAGCGCACAGAGCAACATGAACCCAGAGATTTCCACAGGAAGAACACTTTTCTTTCCACTTATTATCATGTTGCATTCCTGTTGCAATTATTTTACCTTCTTTGCTTAAGAGCTTACTGGTCCCTCCTAAAGACAAGTCCTCCACTGGCTTTGAGCTGAACATAGCTCATCCTTTTGCTCAGGCATGTGTTTAGATCTTGAGCCATGGTATCCAGTTTGAACTTTAGCATGATAGGTGTATCAGAAGATGGGTAAATTAAAACTTGGCACCCTACTAATCCACTAACTATCTGCATGTCTGGAGGTAGTAATGCACGACAGGGAATACGCTCCCATCCTGCATGTTCTGATCTCAGACAAGGGCATACCCTCTGCTGATAGCTGTGCATGGCAGTTTGTGACATTTATAACTTACCTTCACTTTTTCTGTTCTTTAACTCTGCATTGTAAATAGGGAATCCCTTAGTGACTTGTTGATTAGTCTTTCTTTAGTCTTGACAGCATTTTCTTTTTAAAAAATAAAAGACCAAAGTTTATTCTCTAACTCAGAATGACATCTTGTGACTGGTTTAAGCCTGTGTGACGCTGCTGAGAGACTAGCTCTGAGCCACCCTCTCCATTGCATTGCCACTGGTGATTTCACGGACAGTATATTAGATTGTCCCACTAATTTAGCTGAAAATGAATGAAAATACTTTATATGTGTGTTTATCTGCTTGTCAGGTTAATTTTCATTCAGATTAGAGAACTAATCCATCTCACCAGGAGCAAAGAGTACTGATATTTCTGAAAGAAGCACTAAAAATAATACCTTTTAAGAATATGAGCACCATATTGCATGATGTTTCATCCATTCTTAAATGTCTTTGAAGACAACTCCTCTTTGAAGCCCTTTTTCTCTTTAGCATCAGTAAATTTCAGAACTACTGTGACACTAAACTTGCATGGAAGAAGTGATAATTGCATGATTTTACATAATTGGATTGTTGCTGGATGCTAAAGTTAAACTTTTTGTTGTATGTATGAGACACTTGATTTGAATGTCAGAAAATTGCAGACGTAGCTTAGAAACTGATGCAACTACAGTTGTTAAAACTGGGAAATGTATTTTCTACCAGTGGAGGTACTAAGCTTTTATAAAACCAGATTGGAAGGAAAGCATAAATGTTGGGAACCTAGCTGGGAAGAAAAGGCTGTGACCTTGTTCCTTTGCCTTCAGAAAGCTTGCTGTAGTACAGAAATATGAAGTAAGGCCTTGATTTAAATACAAAATTATTTGTTCCAAAACATCTGTAATTAAAGTTCTACTACTTGCTTTGGCTAAACCACAGAATGATTCATTCAGAACAATTAATGAGTGCTTAATAGCCAGTCTTCTCTTTCTTATACTCCTATGAAAGATAATGAAGATTGCTACAAAAGTACATCTGCCCATTGCCACTTTACTGTATTCTTGCCAGTCAGACTCTAGTCCATAATTTGAAAAGAAATTATGCTAATTTACAGTTCATAATTTTTATATCCTTTCACACAGGTGTGAGCATTCTCTCTGAAGACTGAAAATCTATTTGCTTACCCTGTTGTTGGTTTGGTTCTAAGATGCTGTTTGCCTACCTGAAAGATATGGCAGATGTTCAAGAAAAAGGCTTTTTTGATTTTACTGCCAGGAGGTGTTATGGTGACCACTCTCTGGGTGGGTGTATCTGCCCACATTGTGTTGAAAATCTTTACACAGGTCTAATTCTCTTTTCCTTTTATTCAGTATTGGATCTTGTAGTGATGGGGAGAAATTGATATTCCGTAGTTTTACTTACTAACAGTGTGTGAGATTTCTCCTTCTTACACACTTTGTGTGAGATAAAGCACTTTTAAACAAGAAAGGTATTCAGTGGGCCTAAATAAATGGATTTTAAAATGTGCAGAGGGCCTTTATTAACTATGGACAGACTTGAACATCTGCCTGAATACTTTCCTGAATAGTGGGTATGTGCCATAATGACATATTTTGAATGATAGAAATATCTTAATATTTAAAATAATAAAAGCATGTAGTAACTGTAAGCTTGTTCAAAACTGAACAAAAAATACATTGGTAAAAAAATAGAACGTGGTGAATTTTGCTACCAATGAGATCATCAGTATTTATGCTTTTTTGTCTTTGGTAATGAAGATTTGATAACATTTTTCAAATTCTTTTTGAAAAGAACTTGTATATTTTGTCTTAATTTGTCCCCTAGTTTTCTGCAGGCCATAAATTAGGAGAAATGGAAATAACACCGGTGCCACAATAGCTGCGTGAAAGACAGCTGTATTATAAGTTACTCAATTTGAATTTCTTTTCCAATTTCAGGTAAGGAAATGAAAAAAAAATTTAACCAATTACAGTAATAACTTTCAGTATCTTTGTATGATAAAATGCCAACTTAATACTGTGTTAATTCCTGCATAGCATTCGAGAATTTCAAGAATTAGAGTATCTACAGACTACTCAAAATTTTTTTGGTTCTTATGTCTAAGTCATTAAAGGAACTAAATATCCTCTTTTCTCTTTTGTTATTTTTTGTTTTGTCTTGTTTATTTAACCTTAGAAAAAGTAACAATATCTCTAGTAATATCTTCCTATGCACTAAATTTTAGGAGGCCAGTTAATTCTTTTGTTTCTTCTCTTTAAAGTTAAACAGACTTTATGAATTAGCTAGTACTGTTCACTGAATGCATTCAAGCAAATTCTGTAGTGTAAAATGGAAGAAAATATTTAGTGGTGATATTCTCACATTCTTCTGGCTGACTGTTTTGGAAATATCAGTAAAACCATGATAGCTGAATTTTAACCTCTTGCTTAGACAAGTATTAAACATCCATCTCCTACACATTTGTTTCAGTATTTTATTTTTATTACTTTTTAGTGGGAGATGCTTGTTTCTGGTTTATTTTTGACTTTCACCTATAGAATATTGCTGGAAGAGATTTACTTTTGGTGCTTGACCCTGTGTATCATGCTGAATTTGTGCATGCAATGTATTTGTGTCACAGTCATGTCAGTCATCACAGTGATGGCATCACAAATTTCACACATTTTTAAACCGCATTTTATGTTTGCCAATGCCACATTTCACATATAAAAATTAACCAAAGTAATCATGACCTTATTTCATTACATTGCTCCACAAAATTCTGGTCACATTGTTTGTTACTGAATATGTGTGTATGTGTGTCAGTTAGAGAATTAAAGATTGCTGTGATGAGAACATTTAGAAGAAAGATTTTAAACTTTTGAACAAAATGTTACTAGATTGGCATTCTTTAACTACACGCTTCATGCTAATGCTGATTTCATATCCGTTATCAGTCATTATCTCTCCACGGTCAGTCAGCCCTTCACAATCTCTGTCTGTGAGTGTGCAGTACCACAGAGCTGATGCCGTGAGTTTAGCACAGTTCTGGATTGCCTTGGTCACTGAGGTTGAGGAGAGAAGACTCACAGCCTGTCTACCAACGGAAGCTGAAAAGATAACGAACATGTCACATCTCCCTGCCCAACCACACTGGGGATCCTACCCATTTGTAATTGTATTGTGTTTCTATTGTTTCTAGACAATTGGCCTCTGCCTCTGGGCTAGGTGTAGGAAAAGCTTAATGAGCACTTTCCTAGGCTGCAGCACGTGGTTATCGTGTAGCTTGGCTGGGCTTTTTTTATTTTTTCCTTTCTTTCTGTTGATTTTCCTTAGTTAGCTGCTATTTCTTTTCTTAAAGCAAAAGTAATGTTTGCCCAGCTCTGGGGGTTGTGTTTTATCACTGCCCAGTAACTGTGAGTTATGAGTTCCAGGACCCTCTGCTTTCAACCTGTGGCCTTATCTTCAAGGACTTTACTGTTATCCTGTGCTTAACCTACGGCCCAACAAGAAACATCTGGTAGCAAGGTCCTATTTGCACAGGAAGTTCTCAGAACAAGTTGGTAACAAGCTTAACCAGCCAGGACTGGGGCTTGGTGCAGTTAACATAAGGCACAGTTAGCTTAAAGCTTCTGGTTTATTATTGACAGTGGCAATGCTATTTTTACTGGGCACAAAAATGCTTATGCAGTTATGGTCTATTAAATATGCTGATGCTTGGGTTTAAAACAAGCTAATATTAATGGTTGCTTCATGTACTTTTTCTTTCGTGGGTACAACAGGCCTCTGCTTTAGCTATACATTTCATATATGTGTCAAGATAGATGAAGAGGTGTAGAGGCAATGTTTGGGAGCAGTTTTGGAAAGCAGATATTGGCTAAATAGATCTGCATCTGTCTCCCAACAGCAGAAGTGCTGTTAATGAGCTGTTGTGACAGCAGGTGGGACAGTCTGTAAAATTTGCACGCAGAAATAATTATTTCTGTTGCTTCTAGAATGAAGAAATACTTCCTAGTCTGGAAAATCAATGTTAGAAGCAGCAAGACGAACAAGACCAAGTCAGTTTGAATGTAGGTTTTTCATGAAAAAAGAATTAAATAAACCTCATCTCCTGCTGTACACTTTACCAATTTGTATCTTATTTTCCCTAAATGCTTTTTAGATCAACAAAGACCATTATACAAATGCCAGATTACCTGTTGATAACAGCACGGCAGACTTACTCTAATAAAATTTTTATGGTACTTCTGTCTTGCTGTGAGGGAGCCTGGAATTTTAATGTGGAGAAACCTGAGCTTTAATTTGATGTTTACCTAGTACCAAGCACAGTGGGATTCTGCTTTATGACTAGGGATTTTTGCTATAAATGGGATTAAAATAATAATTAATACAGTGTTACATTGTAAAATGAGAGTGGGTGCACCAAATCCAGGCTGAATATGGGCTGAATGAGAAGATTAAATTCAATCTGTATGTTGAGGTGAGTAAAAAAAATCCCATCACACTTCCATTCTCCTTAAGGCCATCCTTTATTGGCATGTAAATAATATTTGCGTTGTGTAGGTTTGATAATGAAAAAGACATTGTTAACTCTTCACAAGAGATTTTTTTCCCCTTTTATGTATCCTATAGTAAAGATTATTCTTACAGGTTTTTAATTAGCCCTTGTGTTCAGAAGAGACTTCTTTATGGGTTTTATATCAAAATTATTAGCATTGTGCTGAGGCCATATGGATTAGAACTTTCATTTGTACCTAGGGGTAAGGAGCTGGGAAAAGCTTGATGGCCTTTTTCTTCTATTTGAACAGTCAGGTGGAAAAGGCATCACCTGTCAGGTAGTCCTTTGTCTGTCTGATTTTAAAGTTACTGAAATAGGAAAGGTATTCCGAGTAAACAGGGTTTTTAACGGCGTAAAATCTGAAAACTATGATTTATGGAATGTATCATTGAAAGTAATATATGATGAGTCAAATTCTGAAAAAAAAAATCATGTTTTCTCTTTACTTGGTGTTAGTCAGAGACACGTTCATTAATTCATACATTAATGCTTAACAGATACATAGTGCTTTCCCTAAAAGCAGATTTTTTGTAGGTGGCAAGTTCATCAAAATTCAGTTGGGGCACTTTAAATGTCCTGACAATAGAATATTTTTAGTATGTTTTGTCAAAATCAGATTTGTCATTTGAAATGTTTTTATGTCCAGGAATCATATGACTCTAACCCTTTTATAAACTAGAAAGTAGTCCTGATGCTCTCCACCCTTCAGCATTTGGATAAATTTGTGGGTGAGGTGTTCCTGTAAAAAAAGGTGGTGAAAGAGAGCGTAGTCCCTATAGAGTCCATAAATTTGTTTTGTTGAGGTTTTGGGTTTGGTTTTATGCCTCAGTACGTTGCTGCTCACATAAAGTTATTGGACCTTCATATAGGTAGGGTAGTGCATGACACTTTTTTGAAAGGAAGTCACAAAAGGACTTCTAATGCTACGTTGACTACACAGCCTGTTCATGCAGCTGATTTTTCCTGAAACGATTTAGATCCCTATGCGTTAAGAAAAGCAATTTAAAAGTTGTTTTGATGAATTTGTTCAAATTCTTTAAATTTCTTAAATGTTATGTTGAGATAAAGCTCTTTGAAGTTTATTCATGCAAATGTGAAATGCAAACACATCTGAACGGCACATTCACGGTTTGCTGTCTTTTCTCTCTTCTACACAGAGGTGTGCACATTGCTTCACACAAATAACAAAACCAAAAGAAACCTCAGACTGGCTGTGTTGTGATCTGGAGGCCAAATAATGGCTTTGTTGTCAAAATTACAAGGCTGTGATCTTAGCCCACTTATATATTTATTCTGCCCATTATAACGCTCCTTTTTGGTGTGTATTCCCCCACAGAACTTGAGCTGAAGATTTTGGTATCAGGAGCATCTGCTGAAGAGACACCCTCCATTTCAACCAGACATAAGACTCAGTGCTGCTTCTCATCACCTTACAAGTCCTTCCTGGTGCTTAGTGTGACATATTTTAATGGTGTCATTATAAAGGAGTTATCTGTTAAATAAAAGAATATCTGATATCATTTTAGTTGTCCTAGATTCTCAGATTTTGGATTACTCATGGTTTCAGTTATTTATCCCATTGAACATTTG